TAGCTGCGAGAGAATATCACTCAGGACAAGCAACTCAGGATGCCATTACCATTACTAGAGACGCTGAGCAGGTTTGGGGGCACCAAACACCTCTATAAGACTAACATAGGCTAACTCTTCTATTAGGCCTCGGAAACAGATACTGTTGATAGGCAGACGCAATCTCTTAAGGATGATGTAGGGGACAGTTCTACCAGAGATGGACTCATGGTATGTGAACCACCTACACTATAAGAGAAAATTCTAATTAAGATCTCATGATTATACAAGTCTCATCCTAGAATACCAGACTCTAATACTAGGAGTGCCTCACCATCGTCCTTTATATTAGCTAACAACCTTAGAGATGTCAGTAAATTGATAGAAGATGCTAACTGTGGTGATGCTAGCAGAGCAACAGGCTATTTTAGTAAAGCATCTGAGATTGCATAGTTACAGAAGTTGGGCGCTATAGTCAACAAGTTGAATACAGATAAGGAACACCACTCAAATCACATCAAGGCCTCTACCACATCAATGAATTATCACATTAATCATATCCAAATACCCGAAACAATGAACTTCAAGCCAAGAGGCCTACCACCTAAACCATGGGCGACTCACTTACTAAGCATTTTTTTCAAATCAGTCTTACCGTCATATCCACTCATCAATAAATCATTATTTATTATCCAGTTCAATCAAGCTTTCACTTATTCTTCAGCGCAGCCCTCGCGGAAATGGCTTGCTATACTCAGTTTAATACTCACTGTGGGCTCCAAATGCTACCAGCTGTCAGAACCAGTATCTGACGGCAATACTAATGATCACATCTTCCTCTCGCGGGCAATAGCACTAAGCTCTACCTCCAGCATAATCACCAGACATGTAGGCTTCTAACAGGTCCAAATTGACCTGCTAGCTATTTAGTATCTGAGCTCAGGTTAGGTAAACCAGTACGTACACGGCATACTCACAGATTTCTTTTTTTTTTTTTTTTTTTTTTTTTTTCCTTTCTAGGTCATGGCAAGTAAATGGTCGTGCTGTTCGTCTGGCAGTCTCTATGGGGCTCAATCTACGTGTAGATAGTAGCCAGATCGACCCCGTGTCCAAGGAGACACGTGCCCGGATTTGGTGGTCGATTGTTGCCCTGGAGCATGCGCTCTTGAGCATGACTGGGCGTCCTTCGTGCATTGATTACCAAGTCATCTCTGTACCTGCATGTGGCAGGCCGTGGTTCAGGTACGACCTGAGAGTCCGATGAGGGATCTTCGACCGTACATTCACACCCAGGCAGGCATGATAGTTCCCGCCCTGGTTGCAGATTTTTTGAACAAATGCCATTTGTGCAGGCTCGCGCTTTGACACCTGCCCAAAGCATGGTCTCGTGTTCCAACAGTTCCACTGCTTCTGGTCGTAAAAGCGGACTCCCTCTTACCAACAGCTTACACAGACGCTTTCTTCCCTCTACAGCAAGGGTGGTCTCTTCAGTGGCTTTGGCGCTGCATGTTCTTATTGGACTGCCCACTCTTCTTTAACCAAGCTGTTATCATCTCTGGTGCTGAAACATGGAACCCTGAGGCCGCTTGCTTATATCGTCTCATTAGTCCTGCTCACAGAGAACCATTTCTTCTAGTCCGCTTGTATGATCCTCCCTTGAGACCAAATCAACCAAGTTAGCAGACGGCGCGACTGGAGACGATGGAAATCTTTGACTATTCCGGCCTTGATCTATGCCTCCACTGAAACTTGTATGGGTCATATTCCTGCCATCATTGAGAATCTTAGCGGTAAGGCCCACGAGAATGTGACTTTTGCGAGAAAGTCGAACATCACCCTATCAGATATCTCAGTATCTGTCTTGATGTTGGCTCTTCATCTTGTGCTCCTCCTTCCTTCATATATCGCCCTGATATTAGTCGAGGCGAGTTTCCCTTCCTCAAACCTGCGAAACTATTATTCCTTCCTCCTCCAGGCAGCGAGGGGCACGTGTCAGAGAGCTATTGCCGAGTGCTGATCTACTGCTACAGGCACAGAAGGCATGGCAGATGATTGGAGTTGGAAGAGTATTGTGGTGCCTTGAGTTACATGGGAAGATGACCTTATGTTTAGTGTGTATTGCGGCTATTGTTCATTCCATTCTTTACTACCGTTTTTAAATCGATAGAATCTTTTTGTCATTCACGAATCGGCCGGCCGTCAGTTGCAAGTTTCTCCTCGTGCGCGGAAGCGATAAATATCGCGTTGTTTCCATCAATAGTAGCCGCGCGATAACTCTGTGCTGGACTGAGACTCTGCATACTCTTGTCGTATAATGAATAACCCTTCCTCGTATAATTTTTCGCAGCACGTCCTACCGGCGACGGATCCGACGGATCTACTTCGAGCTGGTCCGATAGCCTCCAGTCCTCTCGTTCATAGCTCCAAAAGGTAACCTCCACATATTCAGATAGTGGTGGGATCTCCCCTGCCTGTGGAATTATCAACAGAATGGCTGTTGCTACGGATGCTGCTATCACCTGACCGGGGAGGTGACGCTGCCGCACAATCCCGAGCCACATGATTCCCAACCATGGCAGTCATGCCTTCCTTCGGCCCGTACCGGTTTCCCAAATTGGCCAACAGTCATAGTTTACAAATCTTGAAAATGAGGGTGGCTCGCAAGGCGCAATATACTGCTGATAGACAAGAAGAATGGTCGACGAAGTATTTGCCAATGATTCTGGACCAGTACTCTGACACTTGGGACGCGTGGGACTACTATACTTCCGCCATGGGATGTTAGAATACCATGCTTAAGTTATCCGCGACTACTGGGCTGCTGAGCGTTGTTCAGTAATATGACTGCGACAGGCACCTTTTCAAAGTCTGTTCTCTCTCTTCTATCTTGACAATGTGGATGTTATATCGTGGGAAATCCCACGCACTATGGCAAAGACACAATTGAACGAACGACAATCTCAACTACTAGCCCAGCAAACCGAAAATCAACACAAGAAATGTTGGGCCTAGTCAATCCTCCAGCGGTGCGTTGACAAATGGGGCACCAGATAAAAGATACTGCCAGAGCGAAAGCAAGGCTCAATAAATCTCCAGACATCACAACAGCTTCGGGGCACTTTGCACAACCGAGCTAGCGTTATTTTCAATAATTCCCTCAGCAACGAGTTTCTGAACATAGTCCTGCAGCCAATTCTGACAGATTGGCGCCTACATTTCAAATCAGTAGTTGCGATAATGCGATGTTACATCTACTAGTACATACCCTGGCGACCTCCTTAATCTGTGGTTTGTTTTCAGATCAAAGCAAAATTATGCCTCGAAATACACAATTATTTTAACGACATATTTTACGTAAGAACGATCACAGTATGAGCAAACAATTCCTTACCAGTCGGATCTCGAAATGCGATACCGAGAGTTCAATATAGAGGAAAAGACAAGATACATATGTTATGCGGGCTTGGAGAAATTGAGCCCTGATTAACCATGTTGGTCGCGATACAGCGCTTTGAGCAATGGAAGTACATGTCTGGCAACTTGAAATAGCTTTCTTGAGTGCTCATCATCACTCTATGTAAGTTATGGAAACCTAGGTTATCTAACTTAGTATTTTCCAGTGAATAGGGAGCTTTTCCCCCTTCTCTATCCCACTAAACCCCTTTATTTTTCTGTTCACCTTGTTACGGAGAAGGGGCAATGCACTGAAAAATTGAATGCTTTCAGCAATGCGCGAAGGTTGCAACAGGTTGATTGAGTGGTCATGCTACTCTTATGGTATAATGGGGATGCAAAAGTATTCAACCACCTACCTCACTACCTACGAGGCTCAGAGCCCTGACTCTAACATTCTACCTGTTCTATTGAAAGAAGCAGCAGGACAAAAGTCCTCTGATTCTCATGTATTAGAGGCTGGAATCCACTGCGCTGCAGCGTAATTGGGTCTGAGTATAGCAGATCCAAGCTTCACATGTCAAATATATGATTGATCTGATGCACCCTTTTGGCCTGATGTATAGCAATATACTAAAATGAAAGACATGCGGTAATTTTGCTACTGGCTGATGAACAAGGACAGAACACAGGGGGTTAAATAGGGCTTAGTGGGTTAAGATATCACCCTGGAGGGGAAATGCATCCTATGATCCCTAAATTTAGCTAATACTGGGTTGAGGGTGCAGTTCATCACAGATAGTTGGATCACCCGCATATTATCTTGTTCATATAAAATCTCACAACCCTGTATATAAAGTGGCTACCACGAGAGCAGATGCAAAGGTTAGAGGCATAGCTAGAAGAAGGAAGGGAATTGCATGGTTATTAAATGGTTAAAAAGGTTTAAGTGGGGAATGGCTTAAATAGTGGGCCAATGGTCAAAAGCATTCAAGCACTCATGTAGTGCCAGGGTAGAGACCAGTTTCTGCGCGAAAGATGAACAGCGCCTATAGCCAGAGATGTACTGAGATGCAATCAATGCCCCATTGTATAATCTATATAGGTCAAGTAGTGATTGCTAACTAGGGCTAGGCCTAGAGACCCCTAAACAAGAGTTGGGATATTGCTGCACCATAGGCGCTGGGATCTCTGAGTGGTGGGTTGATGTGATAGATTGCCTGTTTAATATTTTTTTTTTTTTTTTTTTTTTTTTTTTTTTTTTTTTTTTNTATGTATGCAGCTGCGCCGCTCTAATTTTTTCCCTGGTCATTGTATTCTGAGGCAATTATTGTCCACCCACACATGAGGTTAGCCCTCACGATGTCTGCTGGTACAAGGTCAGCCTGCACATCAGATTTATACGGGACTCTACAACAGTAGCATTACTATCAAAATGCAGTGGCCAATAGTTAATCATATTTCTGAGGGGTAAGCCGCCAGTAATTCTCTATTATATGCCTCGGACTACTTCTTTGACAGGGTATTTAAGAGATACAGCATCCACAGAGGCACACACAAAACATTTAAAGCAGAATCCATAGTCAATTTATCCCTAAATTGCCATGTTCTTCCTCCTATTTCTCACCATGCTTCTGAACCCATTCCGACCTTGTGAGGGCTCGCCAACCTACCAAGAGGAATATCGGGGCAGCTATGTACCTGAGGTTATTGAAAAAGAATATGGTCTCCAGGTAGTAGCACCGGATACTCCATATGTGGCAGCTGCCGGCCGAAACGCTTTATACTTCCTTGACACCCGGTTCGATCCTGAGACTGCAAAGCACATCAAGCAACAAATTGAGAAGGCTTCTGTGCCAAACCCAGATGAGTATATCTCTATAGATGAGGTTTTGGCTACAGCGGAAATCAAAAACTCTACTGGCGAAACAACATTCGTGTTTGACCCCGCCTACGCCAGGGTGCTATTTGCAAGGGGAATAAACAGGCACAATCCTAAGCTTAAACTACCTGTGCATGAGCCCGCTGGCGATTGGCTAGTGACCTACGACCTGGATAAAACCCTTACAAAGCGGGCTGATAGGTGCCATGATATTGGCTGTCACTACGCCACCGACTGCAAGCAGCACCATTGTCAGCAATGCCTCCATTACAGGGTTGACAATCATTGTGATGGACCAGTACTTAATGCCGTTAGTATATGCCAAGCTAAACCGTGCTCAAAGGCTGTCGACACGCCAAAAGAAGTTGGAGAGGCGGACGCCAGCTACTATCAACGGATGGACAAGTTGCACTGGGCGTAAAAGAGCTGTGGTGGGTGCGGAATTGCACACCAATTCCAAGGGAAGAAGTTGCTTTATCCGCTCAGAAGCATCAGAATTTCATCAACCTCTTAGGTCTTGTTAACTGAGACCAGATCTATCAAGCTTTTATCTATTGTTACATTGTTGTGGCTTCATTTTTACAATTCTTTGTGAAGTGCGATTCTTCAACCTAGGGTTGGCTGAGATCATCGTCCTAGTGTAATACATTGACCCACATGTTGATCAATCAGAAGGCTTGTCATCACCTTCCTACCAACCCCACTGAGGAACCTGTTGTGATTTATCCCTTATAAATATTGCTGTACTTTCATTCACTTTAGCAATCAGATATCTAACTATTCTCTACTACTTACTATGGTAGTACAAGTAGCTTTCAGTTCGATTCCTGGTCTTGAAAGAAGCCAAGTGACTCTATTCCCTAGTACATGTGTTCTGGCGCACCCCCAATAGATTTTCTCTGCCTAAAGATGGTCCTGGCAGCTGGTTTTATACTGGTACAATTCTACATAGCATAGCTACTCCTAAGCTATCGCGGATCGAGGATGTTCTAGGATACGCTGGCTGGGTTTTTGTCGAGACTTTAATTTCGAGTTTTCCACACGTGTCCTTTTGAAGATGCCATGCCTTCCAAATCTTTGTCACGAAGTGTCACCTGTCGCTGCGGCTTATACGGAAACGCATTAGAGGGTAGCGTCAAATGGGCCCATTCGCGCTCCATTGTAGAGAGACATGGCTGAGAATGGCTTACACAAGTCGAAAGCGCAAACGTGACTGGTAAAAATCCAGTTGGAGTATTGACGTAGCCACTATGTACAGCGATCGAGGGCAGAAGTTTGTGAAATATTTCATGGCGATCTCTTGCTGAGATTCGTGCTCCAGTATACTTGAATAGAACCTTGAGTTCTTCCCGGATATTGCTCGGAGAACAACTTTGTCACGTCTGACCAACGGAGATGCTGATCCCTCTTCAACTTCACCAAGAGCTCCTCTTCCTCTGGTAACCATGGCATCCTTTTCCTAGAATTCACTTGGTGCGTCCTATGATTATTCCGAGCTTTGCGGATGGCCTCACGAGTCTGAGCCCGACGGCGGGCTAACCGTACGTTTCCACTCTCTAGCGCGGATTCTTTCGACGAAGTGTTGGTGGCACGTTCAGTGCGTTCAGTGCATGACGGTGGAACAGAGTTCAACCCAGGCGGAGAGCGAGATAGCGGACGATCAACGACGTCTGGGAGGAATGTAAGGAAGTATGCGTGCCGCGGGCCATGAGGTTGGATACGGATGATGCCGCGACCAAAAATCTCCTGTGCCTCACCAGGACCAGTGACAAAGCCAACTCCAGATGTGGCCTGAGATGCACTTATGCCACCCTCGGCATGACTGGGCGAAACTGATCTGTTCCGAGCGGTGACTTTCGAGCGTAGATGCCATATTCGACGAGTCATAAAAGCACGGAGTAGGAGGCATTTCCCCGCCGGCGTCTTTTCCGTGGGCGTTCTTCTCCTTTGGTATCAGATTCCCCTGCTAGGAGAAGACGTTTCTTCGTGGGATCGCTTGTTTGCGGATCTTCACTGTCGTAATCCGGACTGGCTTGGAGACAACGGTGTGATGGCTGCACAAGAGAGTCCCTGGCAGTTCCTACCATCGAGCTGGCCGATCGACGGACAGCGCCCATGTCCACACTTGCTGTCCATTAGTCCCTAGGTCCTTCTAAAGAACCCTTTGTATGGGCTCAGCATATTCTTTGTTATTATCATCAGTTTGACTATTAATTATCACGAAGCTACTTAAATCTTCTAGATATTTGCTTAACCCCTCTTTATGAGAACAGATTAGGGCCCAGCAATTTTATATAAATGTGTAATTATCCTGCTCTTACTGCTTCATGACTAGTTATTATTAAAAAATCATACATATTAGTAAATTTAAAGGGCTTGAAGTAACCCTAGTACATTAATTAATACTGTGTAATCCATATTAGGTGCTAAGCTTCCCTGGCAAGCTTCCCTAGTACCTTACATAACTAGTATCAGACTCTTTCATAACAGCTGGAAAGCCCCAGCTCCTACCTAAATTCCACGGAGTTTAGTCCGTGATGCCGGATCAATGCGCATATTTGGTATCTACAGATACACACCAGGGCCATAGGGGAAGCAGGACAGGGCCACCCCAGGCCTAAGCTATCTCCTACATATTGTTATTTAACAGCTTTACTAGTTATGGAAAGAGACTACTATATGAGAATTTTCTTCCAGGTCTAATTATTTCCTACTAGCCTCAGCACAGGCGCACTAGCATATGAGTCCAATATGGAGATGTAACATTCTCCTGCTGTAATCCTCAAATGAGATTGCTCCGGCGAGTATCCCCATCTAACGCAGTGCTTTTACTATGATCAATCAGTTGTACGCATTACGGGATGCAGTCCCTGAGATCTTCCTAGAGGTCTTATTAAATCTATGTAGGTGGGGATGTGAGGCCGCGATAGATGCGGGAAGGTGGCCATATGAAACTATCCTACGCTGGCAGAATTGGAAAGGATAGAAATCCTAGTATATGCACACTATTAACAAAATCAGCAAAGTCAACCGGAGTACTCCGTGGATCTCGCCATAGTGCTCTTTTTGTCTGGTATGGGTTGTCCATGACCCGTCAAGGACCCATGAGCCCATCTATTACGGAATGGCAAATATAACCCACGCATTAGCCGCATTACAAATTACAAGTTACAAAATATAAATATATTCGGACTTAATATTGGCCACTGGTATTTGACCTTTTTTGGTGGGTTTGGGTCGGCGCCGAAACATGACTCGCATCCATGGCGAGGTCAACTCCCTTCAACTACTACTCCTACTACTCCTGTGAATCCCACTTTTACTAATCCTTCCACTACTACTTCACACTTATATACTGCTGCCACTTGAGTGCCCACTATGAAGAACCTGTCTGCTACCCAAGGAGCAGAATGCACACCTCTAAGTTGTCATCCATTTCGGGGAGAGAAACTCTCCAAGCAAGACAGTCTATCAAATTTTTGCCGCTAATATCAGTATAAACTCCCCACCTTCATTTCGTCAGAAATCTTTCAGACGCTAATATCGCTAATAGTCACATGGGATCCAAAGTTACGCCAAACACCAGACTAAAGAAAGAGTCCGGGTCCGTTTACATCTCACGAAGGAGTAACCGACTTCTTCACAAATGACTGGAGGAAAGAGGGTTAGAATGAAGAAACAGAAGAAAAGAAAATAACGCAACAGTCTCTGTGCCCCGCGCACATAGACTAACGGGTAGCTCAAAGCCGGCTCCTGAGAATCATGGGATATGAGCTCAAAAACGTCTATAAATTCCCACCAATAACCCCCGGGGGATCCGATGCGCTGCTAAGACAATTGAAGTCCCCTTACTTGGCAAAGTGACAGCGTAGGATAAAGCTATCCTATGTTCTGGCAGCGGCTCTTCTTGGGCTCTGCCAGGTCAACACAGCAGCCGTGTTCGCACACTTCATGGTAAGCCCCTATCAGTGCCCTCATCCCCTTTAACATTATCTTTAATTATAAGGATCTGACCAGCGCCTCAGTTGCTGAACGCTGAAACTACACCACTGCGGACTGGGAGACGGACATCCAAGCAGCCCAGGTCGCTCACATCGATGCCTTCGCCCTCAACACGCCTCTGACCCCAAGAATCAGTCAGATTATACCCTGTATCGAACTCAAAAGTATATAAAGGAAAGCTCAAGCCATGTCCATTAAATACCAACGCACACATAGTAATTAGGCCAAAGACCAGCACAAGTGTTGCCCACGGCGGGATTCCAGGCGTAGAAGTCACTCAGCGCGATTCCCGCTGCGGCGGCAATGTCATAACAGCCATCTCCACTAACAACAAGATAGAACTTCTTGCAGTTGCTTACCATGCCTGTCTGAGTTGGTGTTGGAGTGGCAACCCCGTTGCCAGAGGTCGTTGTAGTAGTCTTAGTAGTAGTGGTACCTGAGCCGCCGATGATGCCCACACAGACGTAGTAATTAGGCCAAAGACCAGCACAGCTGCTCCCCACGGCGGGATTCCAGGTGTAGAAGTCACTCAGCGCGATCCCCGCTGCGGCGGCAATGTCATAACAGCCATCTCCACTGACAACCAGGTAGAACTTGTTGCAATTGGTCACCATGCCTGTCTGGATTGGTGTAGGGGTGGTAACCCCGTTTCCTGCAGTGGTTGTGGTGCTTGCAGTCGTAGTAGACGTAGTAGTTGTAGTAGTCATAGCAGTGGTCGTGCCACCTGATATCACACCAACGCAGACATAATAGTCGGGCCAGAGGCCCCCGCAAGAGCTGCCAACTGCAGGGTTCCAGGCGTAAAAGTTGTCGAGAGATATTCCCTGAGCAGCTGCAATGTTGTAGCAGGAGTCACCACTGACAACCAGATAGAACTTGTTGCAGCTGCTCACCATGCCGGTCTGCGTAGGAGTCGGTGTCGTGACGCCGTTCCCGGCTGAGCTGGTTGTGGAACGTGTCGTAGTCGTGGGTGCCGTCCATGTTGGACTCTGGGAGATATAATTGACCTGCACGCAGTAGTAGAGGCCCGAGATCAGGTTGCAGCCGTCACCAAGCTGACTGACGCTAGGGTTCTACCCCGAGTCAGTACATGTAGGTAAGAGGATACAGCTGGGCAGCTGGTCACTTGCTCACCCATTCCTCGAATTCGGCCGCAGTCATGCCGTAAAAGCGGTGGATTATGTCGCATGTCAGGCCGTATGAGGCCTGCACCCATTCACTACAAGCCGACGCTGCCCCTGGCGCAGGTGTTCCTGGAGGAGTCACCAAATAGGCGTCGACCAGGCAAAGAGCCAGCGCGGAGGCAAGAAATTGAAGGGGTTTCATCATTCTGGTCAGGGGTATGTGATAGCAGACAAGTATTGAAGCATGAAGAGAGTGGGAGGGGAAGCGAGGTAGTCAAGAAAATAGTAACAGCCGCTGCTTTCATGTCTGCAACCTCGCACTATTGGCATCAGCCCCGGCTTTCTCCGTTAGCACATCGCTAGGTGTGATTCAGTTTAATCCCTCAGATATAGGCTATAGCTAGGATGATTCTAAGCCGGACTGTGGCGGCCCTTGGAATGATTTCCAACTGGTATAGTCCATAATACCATCACCTTTACAGCATTGTAAGCTGATTGGGTAGAGACCAAATTTCAATATATTAAATTTAATCATATGAATAACATCAGCACCATGAATCATGTCAACCGCCTAGCCAGGCCCTTTTCGGAAATAATACTTTAATATTATACACTAGGTGGTTGACAAGATCCACTATCAGGCAGTCCGCGCATTAGCCGCACCGGCTCATCTCCGCAAAGCACGCCACGTAACATTGCCAAAATCTCCCTCCTCTACTCCGTACGTCCTTCAACATCCTTAAAGTGCCAAGCTGATTCGCCAAGCCTGGCTCATTTTACGAAGAGTCTGATCCTGACCTAAGCACTAGGGTGACCAAGCTTAGTCCAGTGTGATCTTTGTCAATCAAAGTCCGCTAACCATGCCCCCTCTGCAATTTACACATACGAGTGGTCCCGGCCAGTCGTCCCTACCCGTACTGTACGTCCTGTATCTGCTGTATGTATACTTTAGTATCGATTGTATCTACTGTTTACAAGGATAGAGCAGGGAGTGGGACTGTTCTGGTTAAGGGTTACATTCACTCATGGCTAGGACGTGAACTTCGGCAAAATGAACATTGACAGATGCTTTACCCGTGAGACGATTCATGGGTAGACACTTAGCTATGGAAAGGATCTCGGCTGCCAACTGCTCACTGCCAGCCAAGTCTCTGCTTGTGGTCTGTGGTTTTGTTAAGACTCGCGGACTCGCCTCTTGACACTATCCGCGCTCCCAGGTTGATACTTATCCAAGGTCCTTCAACGCCCTTTTCGACTTTCCCCTTCTATCTTGGTGATAACCTCCTGTAGTCCCTCAGCTCAACATGCGGTGGTCTCTTGCAGGGCTGCTGCCGTCGCTCTGCCTTGTCGTCCTCACCAATGCCTCCCCACTGGATCATGATACCGCCTACGATGTCAAGGAAGCCAACTCCCTCCACACTCTCATTCGCAGAGTTCGAACCGGCCCAGGTGGTGGCACAGTCACCCCCCCAAAGAAAACGACAGATCTCTTTCTGCTAGATAGCGGCCCGGGAGGTTGCACTAGCAAAGAGACAACCCTCGATAACTGGCTGACAGAGGTCTTTCTCCTCCACGACGCGATCAAGACGGCGTACGCAAACATCCAAGGAGATAGGTCTTGGATGCTGATGTGGTACACCTGGTTCGGAGTCCAGCTTAATTTTGAGACCGGAGGTGTGGACGTGAGTGACGCGGCCAACAAGAAGCTATGGGACACGATTGGAGGTACCTATTTTCACTCATTTTCTCTCTACACTACGTACAGTGTGCTCTTGGATACCCAAGGTTAATTGATATAGACCACATCTCACGCGTTACCAAATTCCTTTCCGGAGCTGGCCTGGCCAAGCCCCAGGTAGCAGGGGAAAAACCTCGCCTGTTCTGTGGGCCCGAGGCAGGCGAACATCAACCCTGGGCTGGATCGGTCGTCAAGGATCATAAAGGCCAAGATGTAGTCACCAAGAGAGATCCCGAGACTCAGCAGCCGATCGAGTACTTGAACCTTGCAACGGCGTTTCTGGAGACATCCAGGAACCCAAAGGCCAATGCCTTCTGGTTCAGCGCGTTTAACGGCTACGACCTTGACTACAAGGGCGAAACAAGCCTATGTCCCGAGAATCCTTCAGATGGGAAGCCCCGGTACGCCAAAACTGCCCGACCAGCAACGTCGTGGCCAACAATATTCGCGGACGACGCAGACTTTACCTTTGGCAGAGCCAACAGGCACATCTTATTTTGCCCCCTGTCCTTTTCTCCTACTGCTGGATCGCATTCCTACCCGTCACTGACAAAGGCCGTCGAGGAGGACAATTACCCCACAGCCGGATTGAAGGACGTAAACGCGGCTCTGGACAAAATGATGACTGTTAGTTCTACGATGTACCACGAGCTCTACCATCTGACCGATGATGACAACACACCGGATCAGGATTGTACGTATTTGACCCTTCTCCGCGGTTTCTCTCTTCAATCCACTTTCGACTAACCGCTTGTTGAACTGTAGACAGCCTGAATAACATCATACGCAACGCCGCGAATCCATCAAACAGAGAAGCCAACTCCCACAACCCAGAGACTTACACCCTTTTCGCCACGGCGGCGTATCTGCTCCTCAATGCACCCGCGGACGAAGAACCCTGCTTGTACATCGGTGGTTTCCCGAAAAAGGCTTCTGATCCTTTTGCCCGATAATAGAGGAAGGAATTAAGGGCCCGGCGTGGGGTTCGAAGTGTCGGATAGGTCGGGCGTATGACTTCAACCGGTCGCTTGGGCAATGTAACTATGTCAGAAATTAGGAGCATTATATTATTTCAAGTCAGCTGAACGTTCTCAGGCAATAATGATTATAGTGCCGGTCTGACTGGTTTGCAACACACTGTAATACAATGTCCCTAGTTCTACTCTGTACTGACCGCTAGTATACTTCTCATGGGTTGTATGCACTTGCAACTTCCCTAAATGCTAGTCCTTGCTAGTGGCTTCAGGCACGGGATTTACAATTATGCCCTATCACGCTCTTCTTACATCCTTGTTCAAAAAGGCCTATGTGTTGTTGGTGGATATCCTCAGGATTCACGTTAGAATTTGTCGGGCCGTACTCCGCATAAAGGCAGTATTGTGCCGGCTCATTTTCTAGTTTGAGTCTACTAGCCCGTGTGATATAGTTAAAGGAATGCTTGCGAAGAGCTAGCTTCTTGGCAGTCATTCTCCACTCATGGCATGAGCCTGTTGATCACTTGAGTACTTCATTCACCCGGAAAGTAAAGGAAGGTGGGGGGCGTAGGGGGGAAATAGGGCTCTCACCAATGCACCCATTTTCCTGAAGAGCGGGGCTCTTGGTCTCTTCCTGCCGAATTGTATAGTGCAATGTAACCGAGGAAAAGGGCGTGGGGTGTGGTGCAAGCGAGCGGAAGGAGCCCAAATTAAACATGACTCGAACCATGCAGCTAGGACGCTTAGTAGAGAGCTAAGGCAGGCCCAAGGAGGTACTCCATAAAGGCGCATGCATGCTGGCAGGCTGCTAGAATAAGCCGTAATAATCCCACTGCCCGAGATGATTATGCACCAGTCAAATCATGCAGTCCACTAATTGCACACCTCGATACTACCCTGCTCGCACAGGACAGCAAACGACCACTCTTCCTGTGGGTAGCGTTGATGCACACATGTCAGTGATACAGGGGTGTTTTTCGTGCCTGGGCCCAACTGCAGCTCACGATATCAAAACATACCGCTAATTTACTGCGGTACAAGCGAATGTATCTACTATGTACTCCTAAGTTCCTCAGAAGGAGCCGGTATCGCCAGCATCCTGATCGGTTAATAGGGGTCAGAGGAGCATGTCCAAGACCGCTGGTTCTGCCTAGGCGTAGCATTGTTCACGCTCCTTCATAAGTGATCAACTTCCAGGCTGGTCCCAGAGGTCTCCTTCTCTTCCCCCTCTAACATTCTTTGCGGTCTGCTTTGCCTCTCTAAGCGGACATTCTTTGCCGTATCAAGATGAGACTACCTTCGCTGGCGACTGCCATTTCCCTGGCAGTCGTCTGGGCTCCCTCAGCCGCCCTGGCATTAAGCAGCAATGCCAATAATGCGGCCAACGCTTTCCTGGCGTCCCTTTCTGTCAGCACCGTCTCTAAGACTGTTGCGGGCAGTCCAACAGACCTGGCAAGTGCGCGAGAGGCAATCCTTGCCGGGAACTACACCTCGCGGCTGCATCACCAGGGCAGAGATAGCTGCCCCGGAGGGTGTAGTAGTGCTGGTATCGATACCAGCGCCTGGTTCGTATACGGCAGCCTCGACCGTCTCGACAGGGCGTGCAAAAGGCCCATGCTCCTCGACTTTGCGCTGGTCAACCCCATCAACGACAGGAAGTCGCATATCGCCATTTCTGCGTGTACCGCGGACTATGCAGAACTCTCGGATAATGCGCCTGTTTCTAATTCTAATGCTGCCTGCGCTTTGAAGGGGGTGGCGCAGACCAAGACGACATCGTCTTTGCAATTGGCATCTTCGGGTGCTTCGTCTTCGACGCACGTGGCTGATGTCACCGCTGCTCTGGAGCAACTGAGGGCATTTGCAACACTGTCTGATGCCGGCTGCAACGAGACCATAAAGTACGCCTACTCCCGTGACGTGGCTGTGGGTGTGTATGCTGGTTCAGGCCTTGCTGGCCAGGGGGTGCTCAGCACGGTTCTCCAGAAGCTCAGCGCTCAAGTCAAAGACGACGGCAGCGTTGCCGAAAGCCTGTCAGTCGAAATGTGCAGCAATTCCACGGCCCGGTACTCACTGAGTGTCCTGGTCAATACCAAGGGCGACCTGGGTGCTGTCCAGCGTGGACTGCAGGTATCCAAGAACGGCAGCTGCGTGTCTACGGAGACCACGACGACTGCCTCTGACTGGCAGACAGTGACCTATCTTGTTCCTGCTGCGACCAACATCACCCGCACCAGCAACTCGACCAAGCTCGCTTCAACTCGTGCCACCGAGTGCCGGACCATTCAGGTAGACTCCGGAGACACGTGTACCTCACTCGCGGCCGAATGCGGCATCACGCCGGCACAGTTCACAGAATACAATCCCGACTCCAGTTTATGCTCGAGCTTGACCCCAGGCAAGCATGTCTGCTGTAGTGCCGGTACCCTTCCGGATTTCACACCCAAGCCTGGCGCGGACGGGTACTGCTACTCGTATCTTGTGAAGACGGGC